TATATTATTTAGGACTGTTATTAGAATCTTGCCCACTGATGGAAGGGGTTTTTTTGGGGTTTTTTTCCGGGTACATTGTCTACTCTTCTGATTGGTCGGTTGTTTTATTAAAACTCAAAAAGGTTCATTATTAACATGTCATACAATATTTGACCTGAAACGTAATTGTATGACATAATAATTAACCTATTTATGACTATAATAATCATCTGACCATGTCACAACTGGTAAAGTCAATATTTGATTATGTAAAGTAAACATATATGTTTTTATGGCCATCTCTAATTTGGCTGCAAAATCACTTTGACCTAAAATGGACATCATAACGACCTCTGATATGGTATTTAACATAAAATGACCTTAACTGACCTATATATTATCCTAATGACCATCTGATTATGTAACAAATGGTATATTTTCTTGACCTTAAAAACAGTTTTAAACATCAGAATTCTAATTTAAAGTGATTCTAAAAGCTAAGATATTAATAAAATAGTTTTTGCATGGCAGCCATTTTGAAATTAAAGATGGCTGCCAAAATGACCTTGAATGAAGTAATGCAGTTTCTTGTAAAAAATGAATTTCGAGAGCTTTAGTATGATTCAGATGTAAAACATGACAGGTAATTATTAAGATGCCATACAATATTTGACCTGAAATGACCTTGAATGACCTTAAATCAATGACCATAAATGAACAATCTGCTCAGGTTATTCATTTAATGACCTTAAATTATAATTACCTTAAATGAACAATCTTATCAGGTCAAAAATGGCATGCCAGTATTCCTTAACCATTTAGATACTAGAATTATAATTCTAGGTTAGAAGAGGAGATAATACAATGAGGATACATAGGTTTTATAAGACGGCCATTTTTAAATCTAAGATGGCTGCCATAATGACCTCCGATAAAAAAAAATGGTTTCTATCAAAAATTGAATGCTATGACCATAAGGAGCATGTAAAAAGTTGGTGCTTTTGTCCAAAACGTCCATATGGCACTATAGCTGCCTGGCGTACGCATACACCACTAAATATGTCGTCGTATTTGTGGCAGCCATCTTGAAATTAATGATACCCACATCAAATAAGTGTACCTGTATGCATCAGAACAATTTTAGGATTTGTAAATATATTTTAGGCGTGTTGTTAGATGAAGTGAATGTCGGCCAGGAACAATTGATTTCAGGATAAGACAGACTACTAGAAGTATCAAAAGGAAAGTAAATAAAAACGAAAAAGAAAGGGGAAACCCCCGAAGACAATAAGACAGATGATGGGATATAAGCTTCCTGAAATGAGTTATTTTTTATTTAAATTAACAGATACGCCGGCGTTAGTGGAGCACCTCTACTATTAGTATTTAACAAAAACAAAATATCTATGTTATTTGTACTGTAGACACATTGAACATAACATTAACTAAAAAGAGTTAAGAAAAACAAGAAGATTGAATTAAGTTTGGTTTTCCCTATTGAAAGGTAGTGTTCAATTAACTTTTCATTTTTGACACTAATTTCTACAAAAGAGATAAAGATATAAATAAGAGAAGATAAATACGGTGTGTTACAAATGATTCAACATTTACTTTATGTTATGAGCCTTGAGCATTCACATGTGTGGGTTCAGGGTTCAGTGTTCATGGCTCCTAGATATATAAAGCTATCTAGGTGCGGGCGCAAATACATCGGTACCGCTCTATTTACAGAGGGACAAATATAACTCCACCGTCTGCCACTTTAAAGAGAGAGCCAGGATGTGTGGCATTATCATTGTAAACTTAATTTGATATTCTAGCTTTTTGAACGTTCTTATTATTTCTAATAGACCTAATTTCATAGCAAATAGCACGTGCCACAGGAAGCGTTCATAATATCGTATATCCAGGATGTCTTCTTTTTGCCGGGGCTTCCTACTTAATGTAGTTAAATGTAGATATAACTTTGGGCGCTATGTAAATAGGTTTGATTGTTATATTATTACTTAATTGAATATATTAGTCTTGGAGCATGCTTGCTTTCCATAAAGTTGCTACACGCTTTCGCCGACGAGCTTTCGGCATCGCTGATTGGTCGGTGGAAGCGCGGACCCTTCCCAAACGCGTCGGGAAGCCTACACAGTGTACCTATTGCAGTGAACACGATGTAGCGATTTAATGGAGATGTAGCAATTTTATGGAAATGAAGCTTCAGACGTACCTGATCATTTGAAATTAGCAATGTTTAAATTTGATTAATTTTTTTAAGATTTCACTACTTGCGGCATATTTTTATGCTGCAACCTTTGTTTATGTGTCCGATGTACTTTAAGGTGGATTTTCGACTACTCGACAGGAAACTGAAAGCTGTGTTTTAAAAGCTTACTTTACATACAATCACTACTCGCTATCGTCGATAGCTTTCTGATGCTGATTGTTCTTTGGAATCGGGGAGCATTTCCGATTGCGTCGGGGCTGCTACAATGATTGCATTGAAAACACTGTAGCGACAGTGTTGTCACAGTATTCTATGGAGACCAGGTTTTAATTTCAGCTGAACTTGAATAAATTCTGTAACTTTATATAGCTAAGTGACGAATCTAAAGACTAGAAGTACATTAACATTTGGCTTTCATGATTGGCAGCAATAACAACTTGAAATATATAGCAAGTATGCAAAAATACGAATTAAATCGAAAGCTTGACAACGAAATAGTTAATAGCATTGAATATACCAATTATTGAGCAGCATTTAGCAAATAACGCATGGGTTATGTCTTTTTGCATGATGGGATAGATAGGTTTATATTATTATAAAACACGCGACTGAAATTTTCAGAGGAAGTTTGTCATTTTCCTCAGTTGGAACAACATGCAAGGATAGCTCTATATGCTCAGGACAATAGTCACTCTCTCTATCGGTTGTGGTTGTAAGCAACTTTCAAGTGATTTCCGAACTCGCTTCCTTCAAACAGATTAGCCGTCCCTCTAATTTGATTGGCTTGGTAAAGTTTGATCATTGTTGAGACCACGTGGTAGTATTCGAACTATTAAGCAGCTGTATGGGAAATTGATATGACAGTGACCATCCAATCCCGGTAGGGATACAAGCAACATTAGCCCTTTTCGTAATTTACTTCGAATCTGATCAACTATGTATAGACCTACTACTCAAGACAAAATGTCCTACTTAATTGGATTATTATTTGCTCTGTTGGTAATAATTCCCGAAATATCATCAAATGTGTATTCATGTGAAGGTAAGGAAGCAATTGTTTTATTGCAAAACTAATTAATATGTGCACACTCAGTTACTTCTACAACAATTACGTATATTTAGGCCTAAAACTGCAAAATATCACACGCTTGTCTAAGACATCACACCACACAATATTGAACTGCTAAACCTTTATAGAAGTTGTAAATCAATTCTGGTTTTATTTTAGACTGCTTTATTTCGATGTAATTATGCCTTAATAGTAAAATTACAGGTATATATAAATATTATATAGTATTAAAGTACACACTAAACTAGGCTAGTATCTGAATATAGCATTCAACTTTATGTATATCTACTAGGCTATGTACCGAATATGCCTACAGGTATATGTGTGTTCTATTTTCTCTATGGTATTACATGTATATACAGTATGGTATAGTATACTGTAGTATAGTATAGTATTCTGTACGATAATATAGTATTATATTATAGTATTATAGTATAGTATAGGCCTAGTTGGCCTGTAGTGTAACTATGGACCTACAAGAAATGTTGTGCTGTTCACTTCCATGTAATTTTCCTCTCAGACATCTTAACTAACCTGGTAAAAATATAAATTACTAAATGCCTTCATGCGATTATAAAATTTCTAACTGAATCTACTTTAAAAAAAAATTTAATTTCGAAAATTGTATTTAAAAAAACATTCAGAATTGGCACTTGTCCACACAAAGCTTAATGTGCTTCTCTGTTTGGATCTGATACAAGAATATAATTGTTTGCATCCTTGCCTTGATTTCCTTACTTTCTTTACTTGTAAACAGTTTATTTTATGAAAAATCCAAATGATAGTACTCACCAATTGCATGATGAAGGATTTCTATTTCAAATAAATATCACTTTACTCCAAAACTATGTTGAGAGTAAAATAAAAAATAAGTGCAAAAACAAGTTATAAATGAAAATAATTATGGGCTGTTTCTTTCTTGGACACATTTTGAAACCTTCTGTCAATGTACCTGTAGGTAAGACCCTGGAAAAATTCATATCCCGTAAGTCTTAAGCAAGCCATATAACATAATTACGTCAAAACATGTTTATAGGCCTATTCAAAATCAATCAGTGTAGAACACCAACAAAGTGGCAATAGGCCTATACAATTACCGTGTTTTACTATAATTAAAGCTTGAATGACCTAAATTTTTGTAAGAAATGTTTTTTGTTGTAGAAAGACTACTCAAAGTGGCAGAAGACTCATTTCCGGCAATTTATGAAAACAATTTCCGGTATAAAAATGCCCATCCTCTCAAATTTGATACCTTCGATTTTTTTTTATCCCTCCGTCAATAAATAGCAGATTAACCTGAAGACCGGTAAGGAGACCAGTAACTACATTAATTAATTAAATGAGAGATTTATGTGTATGTTGTATTTACGCAGTTAATCGCAGCAGATCGACCTTGGTGTTCGATTTAATGTTTCTAGGCCTATTCTTTTTATTGCTTCGTCTGTTTCTGGTTTTCTTTTTCTTTGTTTTTTTCCTATAAGTTTTACCGTTTACTTCATTTGTTTTAATTTTTATCGAGTACTTCCTAATCTTTGGTGTACAGAGATTTAAGTATTAGGCCATGCACCTTAAGTGTGGATTGAATTGGATTGGAAATGAGTAATGAAACTTTGTGATTAAGATGCTTGCTTTCATTGCCAGGTTCCCGGGTTTCAATTCTGCAAACACTATCATATGGGCCTAATAAAACTTTATAGGCCTATATAGATACATTTCTTCAATTCGTCTTGATTTATTAAGATACAAATGTACACTGTCCTGACGCTCAGTTTAATTTCTTTTGCAGAAAAACACCTAAGAAAATATTAATGCTTCTGAATTAAAGGTGATTCATAATGTCCTGACGCTCAGTTTAATTTCTTTTGCAGAAAAACACCTAAGAAAATATTAATGCTTCTGAATTAAAGGTGATTCATAATGTTCGCTGGAAGTGTTTTATTATTTTTATTATAATTATCTAGTTCAAAAATCAGAGTACACAAGTTTTTAATTAAATAGTTTCTATGCTCAAGTTAATATTTGGTATGTTATGGTACGGTACTGCAAATTAAGCAAGTTACATTTAAAATTATTTTTTTAATGATTTTTGTCATTTTCAAGGGACAATACATCTTTAAATACAACATAACAGACAGAGATTAATTGAAAGAAAAGAGAAATTATTGGATCGGCCTTTGAATATTTTGACATGCTGTTTATCATTGAATCATAATCGTATTCGAATAGACCTGTATAAAATTCAACATCGCCACGCTGTTGACACCAATACTTGTTAATATATGTCCTTGAGTGGTAATCTACATCTTCCTTAGTTAAGTATATTGGTTGATTTCTTATAACTTGAAACAAATAAAGATAATGTGCATTTATAAATGAATCGCACAGTATTTTCTGTAAAGATAAGAATTTCGTTGTTTGACCTCCGGTATATTACAACCCAAAGAGTTGTGAAATAACAGGAAATTAAGAGGGATCTCCCCCGGGGTACTGACAGACAGAATCGTGATTCCCCGTAAACCGAAATAGGAAGGATCTTATCATTAGGCCTACTTTCATTGATATTTACTAAACTTAGAAAAGTAACAATTATTTGTGATAAGTTGGCTTGATATTTGGTATCAATAATTAGACCCATCATCACCACTACCGCGGTTAACGTCATTATGATAATTTTGTGGTTTGTCTACCTTTTTGCCGGTTTAACTTTCTTTTAACTCCTTCAATTGCTTTTCTCTGCATTTATGTCTAGTCTAAGAAAATTTCATAACCATAATTCACCTCTTTTAATGGTTTTTCTTCATTTATAATATTGTATTATTCTGCCTTTTTAACCTTGTCTGGTCAACTAATTTCTTCTTAGACAACTTTATAAAGTAGGCCTAGCCCGTTTCTAGAAATATCTTCCTAATTTATTTAGGATTTTTTCAATCAGGAAAAGAAAGGTGTCAGTTATGGTCACTCTAATTGCTTTTAAACAGACAGCCGACCATTTTACTGTCGTGTTATGAGTATTAATATTAATTTTCGTCTGTTTTGTGGCAGCTGACTTCTAGTGATACGTTAATTGTTTGTATTTTCCCAACTCAGACTAATTTATATTATTTACAACATATTATCTGTTTACAATGTTAAACCTACACCACTTCTGGGAACTGGTGACATACGTTTTGAGTGTGTTGTGTTGAACTACGTTAACTTTAGTCAATGTTCAAATCTATATTTGTGTTAAACATTTGCATATGGCTCGAATAGTTAGGCCTACATTTTATTTTTTAGTGTATTTTGATCATAGGCCATAGATGTGCAGTATTTCGCCATTCTCATTTTCAGTTCGCTTTAGGTTATTGTTAGGCTATTTGATCATCCAACCATATTTAGTTTAAGATGTAAGTATAGTTCATAGGGATTCGAACTATCTAATATTAAATACAGTAATATTAAAACAATCCATAGTCTGGTGCATAGGTTTGATGCATTATGTGCTATACTATATTATTATTATTATTATTATTATTATTATTATTATTATTATTATTATTATTATTATTATTATTATTATTATTATTGTTATTAATAATAATAATAATAATAATAATAATAATCAAACCACAATCTAATATAAAATTAAAAGTACATAAATGCATTTAATATTTTACTTTGCAATTTATTACAGACTGTGAGAGACAAGACAATAGAGGAAAGGAATTCATCTTTGGTTTTTTAGATATAATCGGACCTGACAACTTTCCGAAGGTGACTCTTGTTGGTTCCTCTCGACGTACTACACGTGTGAACGTAACTGTTGGTGTAAACATTTGGCATGTCACACTAGATAGCCATCAGTATATGAAAGTGGTACGTATTCCGGGTCAAACGGAAGGAAAAGCTATTCTAATTCAGGCGGATTATGAAATTACAGTTTATGGTATCGATGAAGGCAACTCGATGGATTCGTTTCTAGCATTTCCAACAGATGTACTCGGAAAGGAATATTTCGTTGCATCTTACGATATACCGACAAGGGTTGATATAAAACACAGGGGATCGCAATTTCTTGTTATTGGTGTTCATAATGATACAATTGTTAATATTCATCTTGAAGGTCAAGTTACGTACCAAGGTCAAACACATGGTAAAGGAGCAGTACTAGTGCGGAGATTATCACGATTACAATCAGTGTTGTTTCTGAGTGACCAAGAGGATTTAACAGGTACCCGTATTTGGGCCAATAAACCAATAGTAGTTCTTTCCGGTAGTAAATGCGCTGATATACCACGAAATGTCAGATATTGTGATCACCTTGTTGAACAACTTCCACCATTTAGTAAATGGGGAAAAACATTTATCACAACTCCATTATTCAACAGAACCGGAGGAGACCGTTTCCGGGTGATTGCCGGTCGAGATAGCACAGAAGTTGTTTTGAACAATGGAGAGAGAAAAACACTAAATCAAGGAGAGTTTGCGGAAATTGATATAAAATCAACGATGAGTTATGTTATAAACTCGTCGCAACCAATTCTTGTTATGCAATACGCGAAAGGGGGACAGGCAGACAACACAAAGGCGGATCCTTTCATGATGATGGTTCCCGCCATTGAACATTTCACCCATGACGTCATGCTTGTAACCCTTGATAACGCTGTGAACGGACAGGTGTTGAATAATCTTGCAAATATAATTATTGAATGTCGCCAGACTGTAAAACTGTATCATAATATGTTTCGGTTTCCTGAAACCGAGTTCCAAAAACTGGGAAAGCTAAGGGTTAGCATTGGTGGTACGGAGTTCTGCATGGCTCAGATCAGCCTTCCACACGGTGTCCATTATCTTGATCATCGCGACCAAAATATACCATTTTCGGTCACCCTCTACGGATACGGATCGCAAGAGGCTGAAACTGCTTACGGAATGCCTGCTGGAATATCATTTGAACCATCGTCCAGATTTGACGACGCAACCGTGATAGAGGTTTCAACATCGCCAACTGTCAAGCAGCTGCTACCAAGTTTCGTATTGCCACATAGGCCTACAACAACTCCTGGCGTGAAGTTCGAATATGAGACCACAACAAAGGAGCGATCTATTCTTAAATATATATCAGAGGATCCTGGTGAGCCATTAGCCACAGTGGACATAAAGAATGCAGCCGATCCGACAGTTGGACAGGTTTTCGATTCATATAATCCTAGCAGCGATGTTGTTCTTTCGTTGATTGTTGGAACACTTGGTTTCACAACATTCATGCTTCTCACAATGTATATATTATTGCTGAAAAACCGCATCCACAAATTGAAAACTGAAGCTCGTTTGAAAGGCACAACGTACGGAACCAGTACCATGGGTCCTGATGGTTATATGGGTTTGGATGGAACTCAAATTTCACATCGCGAATACATGAGCTTGAATTTACCACAGGGTTTGTTCGTTCGCCGCAGTCATAGCGTTCCTATTCGGCCCGCGCTTCCGCCTCGTATGCCAATCACTCCTTTAACGAAGAAGAATTTGCGCACGCACAGTGGCGCAGCTCGGTCCCCAGAGAGTTCGACAGAAATAGAATTGAATGTACTAGACGTATCTAGTGTTTCAACAGATCTTTCGCATGAATATAAAACACCAAAGACACTAAATCTCTATAAAATGCTTTGCAATACGCCAAAACGATGGCAGTGTAGTCTGCGCAAATATGGCAGGTCAATGAGTGAAAGCAGCGCAGTGACGACGAGTACGGATGATATTTATATGGACATGGGTCGGACACCCATTCATTTGCCACATAAATCCCCTCGACATAAGTACCGTCAAGATAGCGGGTTTGTGGAAAGTGTAAGCGAAGAATTCTTCCCTGTTGTATCGGAGGAATATTCTATTATACCAAACGCTGCTCCCGTCAGCGTATCGGCCCATATTGGGCCAAGTACTAGAGACCCTGTAGTGGCATCTATTGGTAAACGTAAACGCCAAAATGTTTCAACAGTTTTTAACATTCCAGGACCTGTATTATGTCCATCTTTAACAGCAGACACATATTATGACGTCGATGCTCAAGAATATACAGAACTAAACTGAGGACATTTATCTATTTTTAAAATTATGTGAATAGGTCTAGGAGGCATATTTATATTTCTAAAATCGTGGTTGAACTTAAAGAAACTTTACTATACGGCCCGAGAGGATATCAATCATTATGCTAAAGCAGGGTAAACACTGCGTTGACGAAGCCTACGTCTGTTGGCCGACGAATTCGCCTCAGCTCCCGGCCCTGTTACCGGTTGACGACGTAACGCCGTCTGCGGATTGTTGGTGACAGACTGAGCTGATCGTCATTAAAACAATCCGTTGGGTGCAGCTCGTGCGTTTCGTGCTCCATGAAATCAAATCGGTCGATACGTAATGGGCATCCGGCATAAGACTCAGATTGTCATTTTACAGATAGATATTTAATGTTTACGGTAACTAATTTGTATTAAGGTCTCCCTCCAATTAAAGACCCTCGAATTAAAGACCACCTCCAATTAAAGACCATATTTCTATGGCTCCATTTGTGTTAAATATGACTTACACACATAAATATTGTAAGCCAATGCACTGTTTTGTGTATATTGAATAATGATAATGTTAATAACATATTAATATTTTAATGGAAAGACCGCATTTAGTGCCCAGGATTCTCAGGTTTCCTGCAGAGTCCCGGAATGGAGTTTCTTGGATATTGGTGGGAGCAAGCAGGAATCTCTTGAACCATCTCCCGCAAATTCATAATATTTGCATGTTTTTACACGTTTTTAACACTGTATTATCAATTATCTCCCAGACGTCAGTGCCAATCATAATGGTTATCGTTACCATGCACAGCAAAATATATTTATATGTGTTAATGAAACTCATTTAAACAGATCTCCCAGATGTGGATTCTTCCAACTTGGGATCCCTGCTGAGTGCCGGTTTCTACACCCATTCTTAAAATACTTGAAATAAAACAATCTTACATTTACTATATCATTTATTAATTTAAGTCTAAACAGATATTTAAAGACCACTTTTAGTGCTGAAGACCAGAAGCTGCCCAAAACTTCATTTTGGGCAGTTAAATATGACTAGAATGAGTTCCAGTAAAAGTACATACAGAGTTATTGTAGACGCTAGGAGATGCAGCAGTACAACTTTAGACCATCTTTAAAGAGGGTCAGGCGAGAAACACTTGATCTGCACAGATACTTACCAAAGAGGTAAATGGGTACCTTGTAGGATAGTCGCGCAAATAATTAAAGCACGACTAAAATATTCCTCAAAGGAGTCGAAAGGTTTGCACGTCTAAATACAGTGACGTGGGAACTTTCCGAATGTTTTGTTATCTGTAGCAAATGACCCATAAGTTTCCAGGCCTACTTAGATGATTGAGATGTATGTGTTATCAGTACTTAAACATAGAGCACTTTTGTAACTTTAAATATCTGATGGGTCAATATGATATAGGCCTAATTATTTTAAAAATTATTATCTACTTTTTACATCTGTACCATAGAATATTGTACATTCGTTATTAACAATTGTTATACTATATATAGTATATTGTACATTGTTTTAATTAATGGCATACGAAATTAGTTTTTGCCAATTCAAACATTTTTTGTTTGGTTTCTTTTTAAAGTGTATATAATATAACCGATATTTGCCTTCTTAACGTTAGGGTTGAATAGACCCTCACTATTAGGCCTATTACTAAAATGCTATGTCAACGAACCCGTTGTATCACACATGCTCTTTGTGTACTGCCTTTCTTGTTTAATTTTCCACTCTCCAGACTTCACACTTCACAAAGTCTTGGTTATAGAGCGTTGAAAATCCAAAATTACAACTCTCCCAGTCCCCAAGAGTCTTGGCTATGGAGCGTCGACAGTCCCAAATTATCAGCTCTCCAGTCCCAAATCCTCATAGTCTTGGTTATGGAGCGTCGAAGGTCTCAAATGTTGCTTACTTGATAGATTACTCTCTTTATGTAGGCCTATGTTAAAAATAATGAACAGTTATAAATACAATATGAGACAATAAATATTTAAGAATTACTACCTAAATATTTTGAGCCTTATCGCATATTGTTTCATTAAATGTTTCATTTATTACTGAATGTTGTTCAGTGCCTATTGAATATATTTATATTTTATCTTGCACAGTAGATTGAATTTGAATTTTTAAGGTGTACATAAATGTACATTTTATATATATGAAATATAATAATTTTGTACAAAAATAGTTTGAAATGGCAGGTCCATAAAAAGTAGGTATATCCTCAAAATGTATCATTGAAATAAATGAAAAAATAGAAGGTAGACATGCCTTATTCTTTTATAAGCATTTCAAACTTAAACTCAACTTAACTTGATTTATAACCTTTAACCTATAAACAGGAAAGAATTTGAAATATTGATGAGGTCTGAAAACTATATGGCCACTCGAAGTATCTCAAAGTGCATTGTGCATATACACATACGTTATTTACATTTTGTTTATTAACTCTACATTCGAATATTTGACGTTTTAGTTTGTAACACTATCTGATAACGTTTGACGCAGTACACACGTGTTTGACAGTTCACCTCATCATTTATTAACACTCATACAAAACGTGTGTTGTAGCAGTATTATGTTCTATTTCACAATGTATTACGAATCTTATTAATTTATTTTCACATTGGGAATTATAATTGTATAATAAAGTTTATAACATTGACCTCGTGTTATCCTCCTCATCACCGGTCCCACCATAATCACCGTCATCATTACACCGTCATCATTACAATCATCATCATCATCATCATCATCATCATCATCATCATCATCATCATCATCATCATCATCATTATTATTATTATTAATGTTATTGCTATTAACATTATTGCGCTCCACCGTTCTTTTTTTACCTTAAGTGGAGTTGAATTCATTAAGATGCTTGCCTTCTGATCCCAGGGTCCTGGGTTCAACTCCTGTCACAGCAGGACTTTTTCTCACGACCAAAACCAACTCGACTCCCTAAGCCTCATAAAGAGAATTAGTTTATAAAGCATCATTCCCATCCTGTAAGTGGCCAGTGTACTCGCTGTTGGATGTTGAGGAAATAAACAATATAAAGCATCGCAGCCGTCGTGGAAGTTGTTTATACTATTATTTAATATTTATATTTTATTATTATTGAAAAAGGAAAAGCTACCATTTAAAACTGCTTACACCTTACAGGACGCTGCTACATTATCATATTCTAAGTGTGTTCACTTCGATAATCACATAACCGGCGCAATGGAACACCAATAAATTTTATACCATATCGTACAAAGTTAGTGATTCAAACTTCTATGCTTGCGATTGCGGGAAACCTTCGCTACGCCGACGATATTGATAAAAAGTACCATACCAAGGGACGACCTCACCGCCAATTTTATTATGTTAACTGATTAATCACTTTATTTCTGACACCTGTTGTTCACATTATCGTTAATGAATGATGATATCACTGTGACACGACCTGTTGGATGCAAATTCTTTTTTTTCTCGACAAAATCTTCGTAAGATTGTGAAATTCTTTGAGGTTTCATTTTCTGATAAAAACGAAAGTTCACTCGGAAAACTTTAAAACGCCCTAATTGATTTAACTACGATATCTTTCGACCACAAAACAAAACAAATCACACCACATTAGGTCTATATTTAGGACATACATATGATAATTAATAAAGAGAGTGTAAAACATTCTGCAGTCATGCTTAATATATATTCCAAAATGTTATATCTGTCTCTTATACACATCTAGATGTGTATAAGAGACAGGAGGAATATATTAGGGTAATTGAACGGTCAAGAAATTAATTAATTTAATTTAATCTCAAATAACAGAGATTACTACTGTATTCCATTCATTACATTTAATACTAAATATTATTATTATATCGTATCATCAAATCATTTTGGAGGATTTATTTTTCCATAGGAATCTCGCATACGTATGGCAACATATAGTCGCAAGGGATGTCATTCCAGGTCAGGTAATTATCATTCTTTTTCCATTGGTGAACACAATTTTCCTTTCCTACTACACGGTTATTGGGTTCACCGCCGGGTAGCCATCTCTTGTACCTGTATGGTGATTTGTCCGACCAACGCCAAGTACTGCCCGACCTCCTCAAACCAATCCAGTATGTGTTTCCTCTCCCACCGTTATAAGTTTGCCAAATCGTGGAAACCACGTATATCCTGATGAACATAGTGAAGACAAAAAAAAATAATCTAGGCGGTTGACGTTTTTTCATGAAGGCAATAATATTATAATATAATAATATTATTCACATTTACGCTGAAAAAGAGAGCAGACAATTAGTCTTGCAGCATCCATGAACCAAAAAAGAACACATTATATGTATAAGTCTTCATAATTAAAAGGAAATAACCCTAGAGTAGCTAGAAAATATACAATAGATACTGGTGGACCTGAGAGGTCATCTCCCGCCCAACCATGACCTAATCCCCCTATTTGTTTCAGCAGCCTTCAAGTCTTGTAGGCCTATCGGTGATAATTTGTGTCGAATGTTTTACATAATGCAGCTGTAATTTTTTTTAAATAAGTTCATGTTGTGTCAGGCACGAACATGTTCGTAGATAGTAGAAAAACAATTCTAACCTGATTCCCGTCACTACAGTGCTAATGATGCTGTATCTGACTCAGAAAAAACATATTAATGATCTTTTTTTAGAATAAAAGAAGAGATTATAATATTCCCGAAGACAAAAACATCACGCTATTTATTTACAAAATGTATACGGTACACGTTTGTATCATGTTTTTGAAATAGATCATAACACAATACCGTACTCGCGCGAATAAGCGTCCCGTTTGAATAAGCGCCCCGTGAAAATTTCCTTAAGCGCCCCGTTTGAATAAGCGCTCAATGAATAATCCAATCAATCCTGGGACTGTGGTTGTTGGCATGATTTGAGCTGTAGAGTGGAAACACATTCTTCTTCGGTCAATATCAAAATGAGGATATTTCTCTTGGACAGATGAGAGATCCGTTCCCTGGATATTTACTCTTTTTAATTGTCTATGCCTAGTCCTACTCCTCTTTTTCTTTTTCCGACCTTTAGCATTCTCATCTGAGTTTTCAAGAAAAAATACAATGATCATGCTATCCTGCTAATCTCAATCGGCCGATGACTAATAAGCTAACCACTACCCACCACCGCTAATTGCATCTGCTATTTTGCTGTTATGTAAATATTCACGCATTCTTGTCATGAGCCATGTTCTTTGGACGATTATCTTTTCTAACCACCATTCGTAATGATCCTTATATAATCTTTTTTCATTCAATAAGTGCCTCTTGAATTTAATAATTTCCCATAAGAACCCCTCGATTTTCATCTATCTCCATAAGCGCCCCTTCAATTTCCACTCTGTTTTCATAAGCGCCCCGTTTAAATAAGCGCCCCGTTTGAATAAGCGCCCCTCAGAAAGTGCAAAAAATATTTTAAGCGCCCGGGCGCTTATTCGCGCGAGTACGGTACATTATAGTCATTTAATCGTTAAAATATTTTAAAACTTAACCTACACTAAATGAAATTTGCCACTCACAGGAGGAAAAACATACAATATTAACATCATGCAAACAAACTTTACAGAAACTTAATTTCAAGGAAAGTTTGGATGACGTCATTGTCTGATTGTAGGCAGCAGAGAGCATGAAACAAGTGAGAAGTCTTTAAATATGTTTAATATGAACTGTACAGAAATCAAAAGATGTTCAAAGAAGAATCTCTGAATACAATAACATTTTTTTTGGAGATGAAGATGTTTGCAATTTTCCTCGTGAGCACCAAAATAAAACTTTTTTAGTGCTTATTTAGAGGTGGAGGTTAATGTTGTAATTCGTGGTCAAAAACTTCTCTTTATTTTTTTATAATTAACAATATATTTGTTCATTGCATTATACGATCTGTTGTTCATTTTTTGTTGGTAAAAGGCAGAGTAAAATAATATAGGTTTGGTGTGTGGTTCAATCGGGCGGTTTCGTGCAGAATTGTACAATTTCTGAACCAGAGCCAAATGGATTCTTGTTTGAATTAGTAATGCTATTAGTCACTTACTTAAGAAGTTCATTTGGGAAGTAAATAATAGTTTGTGAGAAATTTCTTTGCGGTAAATTTATATCCTGGCTAATGATTGGTCGGATATTTCTAAGTGTGGTTGTTTTCCTTTCTCGTCTGTATTCAAGCGAAGTTATCCTTCACGACTAACACCGCGTGCATGCCTAGAAATCTAGGTTCTTCTATCATAGTTATACTAACATAATTATGTATTTGTATTTCTATATTAATTATGTTGTTTGTCATTGTTGCTTGTGACTATTTACTTTAACCGTTAACAAATTCCTCAAATAGGATTATGGTAGAAATATAGACATATAGTTACAAATTTAAATAATTTAGAAGTATGACATTGATTACTACATAAAAATTAGAAATGAACCAAACAAAAATACAATAAACAATTGTAAGGCATTTTAATTTGCTTTCCATTTTTAGTTTACCATGTTTTTCTATGATTATTTAAGGCACTCTAAATTGTTATACTAAAAGTCATGAATATTATGCTGGATATGTGGCGCACTATAATCGATCGTTTGACTGATTGATTAATTGTTGGCTGATTAATTGATTGATTGATTGATTGGTTGATAACTATTTTATTTTTGAAAAGTTGTTTGAATTATGTAAAGTATATAATTTACATATATAAAAATAGGCCAGGCGTATATATGCAAAATAGCTGTTATGACGCACACATCTCCATCATAAGGATAGGCCCCGGGTAAAGGCAATCACACATCCATGTCGTTAAAGCCACAGTATTGATAATAATAATGTCATCTTATAAGGCGCACGTATCCATCGAGGGTTGCTCTACGCGCCATTTCCACCAGAATGCTGCACCCGTTTCTTTCTTTTATTTATTTAGGCCTATTTAATTTAATTTTTTTTAAAATATTGATTTAGTGAGGAAAAACAGGCAAAACATGTGCACAAACTC